TAAAATAATTAATATTTATTATTTAATATATTAAAATTAATTTATAAATAAATATTTTTAAATATTATAATTAATTGTTTAGTAAAAAAAACTATAAACTAATAAAATTACATTTACAATTAGTTTAGTGGCTTTAAATAAATAATCAATTAATTATTGATCCTCAGAAAAAGTTTGATGGCCATAACGTTAGCCAAGTAAAGTAAAGAAAGAGTCGATTAAGTTAACTCTTTTTCTTAGATGGCTACCCATCCATAGAATAGAAGATGGGCGTTGAGGCCTCTTCTTGGTCTACCCTTTGAAGTTTGAAACAAGTAGATGTTCTCTAACGCAAGCATTTGAAAGTAAGATCCAATTTGAACGTGGGAAGAAGACTTGAAAACTATGAACATGTCAATGGAATATCTCCATTGCTAGTGCTAGTGCTGTAGTCTAATTGTCTTAATCAACCTATTGCTTTGTCTTCCAAATTGTTTAATGTTTGACTTCGTTCTAAATAACTGTCACTTGGAAATAACTGTCACTTGGAAAAAAAGAAAAAAAGAAAAAAAAAAGGGGAACTTATGAATACATTGGCTGGCCTTTCACCGAACCCATAATATCTACCACTCCCCCTAGGCTTAGGTTGCAATGTTCACACCAAAATTCATCACATCACACACACAATCTAACTTCTAAATTACCCAAAACAAAAACTTTCATAAAAGCCTTACAAGGGATTTCCTTCTATAATATTATTACATTTAACGTTAACAACAACGCACATAGGTATCTACCTACTAAACTCCTATCAATTTAACTTATGTCCCCCTACCTAAAACTCAATTGTTCTTATTAATGAATTTTATTGTGATTCAATTTTTTTTTTTTTTTGACAATATCAGTTTCTAAAGATCTAACCCATCAACTCCAGCTTATTGATTTATATTACATAAGCTATGATTTCATCATCTTACATCGCCCCATAAACTAGCATCATCACTTGCTGAAATATTTTTAAATTGCAAAAAAATCTCCTCCATTGATATGTTCATACTAGCTAAGGTTGTATCCTTAGCATCTTGATTCTCAAAGGATTATTGTATCACATAATTGTTGGAATTTCGATGTTAATTTTTTTTTAATAACCTTAACGTGCTGAATATCTACTCTATTGAAAGTTGACTTGGTATTTCATTTAGCCACTTGGTTTTAGGAGGCAATTAAATGATTCTGGAACTGGAATAAGCAAAAGGTTGAACCCAGAGATGGTGGATCTGAACTTTTCATCCTTAGGAAGGACTTCACATGCATGCAATAGGGAGAAAAGAACATGCAAAGAAACTAAGTTGTTTAATTTCAACCATGTGATGGTTTTACTTTGGAGCAATGAATGTGATGAGATCATAAGAAACAAAATTGAAAATGTCAAGTTGCTACTTCTCTCTATATATAATACTGCATCCCTTACATTCCATCTACTTGCATCATTGTTTTGGGTGCAGGAGAATATGAAGGTAAGCTATAGAGTTCATAAAATAAATACATAAAATTCTTGTTTTTTGGTTCTTGTAGCTAATTTAATCCTCTGAAACATTCTCTTTTGATATGAAATTATTTGTCACCTTTTTACCTCGGAATTGGGAGATTGTCTTTTTTCCAGAAGCATGATCTGTTCTGTTTTATGCTGCAGCAAAAGATAGTGATTAAGGTGTCAATGCACTGTGACAAATGCCGCACAAAGGCCATGAAGATAGCTGCAGTAGCAGACGGTAGGTTTACTGATCATCTCTCAATAAGTAATCTGTGTATGAACAAAATGAATAATAGCATTGATGTTTCTGAGTTTCTCTAAAATGGTATAATATGGAATGAACAGGCGTGACATCAGTGGCATTCCAAGGGGAAGATAGAGATAGGCTGTTGATAGAGGGAGATGGAGTTGATGCAGCCTGCTTGACTGAATCCTTGAGAAAGAAACTTTGCCATGCAACCCTGGAAACAGTTGAGGAAATCAAACCAAAAGAAGAGAAGGAAGAAAAGAAGGAAGAAGAAGAACCAGCACCATGCCCAATTGCTTATTGTCATCAGCCTCCGTTTGAATTGGTTGCAATGGTTCCTGTTTCTGATCCCCACCCAACTAGTAGTTGCACCATCATGTGATGGGCGGAGAGACAGAAATAAAAGTTTCAATAGCTTCGGATGCAACCAATAGCATTGGCACTTGTGGAGGGGTTAGAATGAAATTTTAACAACCTTTTTGTTGACGCTTTTACGGACATCTTAACCATTAAGAGCTTGTACTTTCATCGATAATTTAAATCTAGGGGAAAAAACTTTTGTTATTCCCTATTCGTCATTGTATGGACAAAATAATTTGTAATTTTAGATTGGTGAATAAAATACATAACTTATGACTGTAGAAACCACTGATGATTATTAAAAAATAATACCATAGAATTTATTAGAAGATGGTTAGCGTTCCCAAATCTCGAATTGAAAACCTTAAAAATCAGAATTATATAAATATTCCACACTGAGCAATATCTTAAAAAATTGGTCACCCCTTTCTAAACATAATGATTCCCAAGGTTTTAAAAAACGCTAAAGACTATCTATTCCCAAAAAAAAAAGAAAAAAACGCTAGAGACTATGACACAGAACTGGCTCAGAATAATCATATTCTCACATACAAAAATTTCTTATGTTTTGGAAAACAGCAGCACGGTGCTCTATTGAGTCAGTATCTTCCCCAATTATTGTATCGTGCAATCAACAAGTAAAACTGTCGCCTGAAATCTTCCCCGTGATCGATTTTATCAAACTCAACACCGAGGCGTTGCAGAGATCCAGCAGCTTGGTATGGATTGTTTGTTGTTTGACTTGCTTTAAAGGATGGTACATTACTTGACATAGATAAACCCCCTGAAGAAACAAACATATCACAGGTGTACATTCAAATAACATTATGAAAGTACAAAGTCAACAGGAACCGAAAAATAAAGGAAAAACCATGCAGAAATATTGAACTTTCTAGCTTCTCTTTTCTTTTCCTTTTTTCCTTTTTTCCTTTTTTATGGTTCTAGTAGATATCATCACATCACAAAAACAACAATTCCCAGTAGATATGACGACGGAGGAGCACATGATATGAATCAAAATTACAATTGTATCTTTGGCTCTTGGATTTGCCATCGCCATAACCCTCTTTAGTGTTTGTTCTGATTGCTAGCACAAAACAATAATATACCAATAAAATATTGGTTTTCAAAAAACGATTTTCTGAAAGGGATACCCATTAACATACATGGTGTTTTGAGAAATTATGATCAACATCAACTTTCATTGGCTATAGGGATTTTCACATAACCTCTTAACCTTTAAGTACGGGGAGATGTCAATCAAATTTGGAAACGACCTAGAAATTACCTGCATATCATGCATTTTGCTGGACCTGCCGGTGAATTTGCAAAATCCAGTCCATATAACTGCTGGTACCACCAATCTGATCCTCAACAAGTTTTGCAAGAAGCAGTAACCCTTCTCGGGGCTGTTCACCTTGTCTAACAAGATAAGAAAGTTGATAATAAGAAGGGTCAGCCTCTCGTAATTTCTTCAATATACCCATCAGCCTTCTTGACATTTCATTACCATGCTCAATAAGGATAACCTGTTACTCAAGATATGAACACACAAACAATACTGGATCAGGTCAGAGCAGGCAAAGTAACAGATCACAGGGAACAGACAAAAATAAGTTATTTGGGAGATAAATTTACAAACACCAGGGCAACATAGCCAACACAATCAGCAAATCATACCTTTGATAATTCTGCAGCAAAGTCTGCCCCAAGTAAATTCCTAGATATATCAGGTGACAGCATTCTACCAAACCATAGGACAAAGCGAAAACCATCATCATATATATAAAGGCCTCTTGAATCTAAGCTTTTTCCAATCAGTGGTAACCTCTTCATAATGTTTTCAAAATCAAGTAGGGATGATGGCTGCAATATGACAAAGTTGCCATGCTAAATTGGTTATCTACATCATTCTTGCAAAAAAATTCAAATGCATAAATTTGCTTTACCTTTAAAAGATGCTCGTCAACACGAATCAAGGTAGGATATAAAAGCTTCAACAACTTTTTAATAGGTAAAGCCATCATGGTGAAACCTGCTGCACAGCGTTCATCAAGCTGTGCATCAGCATACCCTCCACGTAGAGGTATTGATTTACAAAGTGATAATCCATATAAAGACAAGAACTTCAAAGACTCAGGATAAATCATCCTAGCTCCTAAGCGATGCTGCACAGCATAGAGATTGCGGTACTCTCTCAGTGCTTTTACAATCCTTTGTTGGACAGAGTTTCTTGCATCTTCAAGCTTATGGGCCAAAGTTTTCTCAATTGCTGCAAATTATCAACTAACTGGAATTACCAAGAATCCATCTGAAATCAAAATCAACCATAACAATCTATGTCAAAAGGTGTTCATAACCTTACCTAACCGAGAAATCAAAGAAACCATGGCAGCAGTGTCAGCCTGGCGGTACATCTCACCCAGATCTGCAACCACAGGAGCAGCTAATGTGTGTACTCTGATACGCCGCTCTCCACAAGATGCAGTGTATCTTTTATTCACTTAAGGAAAGATCATTGACTTGTACCCTTTACCAGTCTCAAATATATAGCCAAGCAAGTTTTAGAAAACAAATAAGCCATACAGGAAAAACTGATGTGACTTCTACAAGCTAAAAGCAAATGCCAGGAAAAAGAAATCAATATGCCAATGCTTCACTGTAAACATAATGGAATATTAAAGTGTGCATTACAAAGACAAAGTAGGTTCAAAAAAGGATCATGTGTCTAACAAACAAAAAGATTGCTAAAAATAATCAATTTTTCATTTCATTTTATGAAAAAAGAAAAAAAAAAAAAAGAGTGTGTTCTATGGTTAAAATGCAGCTTAGATGCAGAACTTATATTCACCATCCCCACCCAAAGGATACAGCAAAGCAACTTGAAAATATACAGTCTGAGTTGTAAGCAGTGTCTCTTCAAGAGATAACTGCATTGCATATGCTTTATCACAATCTACAGCTGGAAGTGCTAATAAATCAGTTGACCTCAGCATAAAGTTGCCATGATAAGATGTAAACCGAATTCCTGGTGGAAGTGCCAAACAGAAAAAGTCAGCCATTTTATTTATCATAAAGGCATAAGCTAAGAAGAAACCCAATCTCTACTCTCATTAACATTCTAAATAGAAGAAGCCTTTATCTGAGCAGAATAAATAGAAAAAAAAAAAAATCATATGAATCTCTCCAAAATAGCTTGGAATTAAGGCAAAGGGTGAATGAGGAGACCTTTTCCACATCTTATTCGCATTACAGCTTCCCAGGCAGTTTCCCTTGTGAGATCTCTGGCTAACTCATGCCTAAACTTCTCTCCATGAATAACTGACATGAAACTTGGATAGTAATATACCTGACCTCCAGTATATTTCGCCAAGGTTCCTATTTAGCAAGTCAGGAAAGAAAAATCAGGAACTGCTAGAAGTTCTTCCCAACATTAATACCAAATTTAATAGATGAAAAGAAAATGAACTGTACACCAAGAACACAATTGCATACCTAGGGATGCTATATCAGTGTATTTGTCACTGAAGGCATAAATGTTAACCCCTATCTGGTACTTAGTAAGATCTGCAGCCATTTGCTTATAAAAGGGATCTTCTGGCAATCTCAATATATGCTCTTTTTCTGTCCCATATACACGAGGATCATCTCCGCGCAGCCTTAAACGGCCAACACCAAGAGATGGCAAAGTGTTCTGAAAAATTAGCAATTTTCCTCCAAGTTGATTCTGGAAAGAAGGTAAGGGGGAGTCATGCAATGAGAATGAAATAAGTAATGAAAAACTGATCAAGCACTAAGAAATAACACATCAGTTCACAGTGGGGAGGATGGAAAAGGCAAACACACCATAACCATGAATGCTGCTTTCAGTGCTGGACCAAAAGCAGATTCCACATTCAAATTATCCTGAAACATGGAGGGCAAACTATCGAGGAATGCTTCAACAACAGTTCTTGATTCAGACAAGTTTACAAGAAGATCATCTGGCAAGGGGACAAATATATCATCTAAATCTGAAACCACCATCATTTGAGGCTGTGTCAGAGATGACTGCAAACCCAAAAACAACCAGTCAATTTGGAAGTACATTTTGGTTAAAACAGAGAAGGATTTATTAATATCAAAAAAGCATTCCACACGATCACAAGAATCACTTGCCTTCATATTATAAAAATGTATTGTACTGTCATAGGTAATAAAACCAATCTGTGTTCTAGGGAAACCAGGCAGCTGATCCAAACACGACTTGATAGTCTGGGCTGCAACCTACAAATAGCATCAATTAGCATAAACAAAGGGGAACCTAAAATGAGGAGAAAGAGGGAAGAAGGAGCAAACCCTAATATGCCTTATGCCAAATTTCACAGTTTCCACACCGAAAAAAAAAAAAAAAAGCAAAAATGCTGGTAAAGGAATTACCTATTTTAATAATGCTAGTGAAAACATAGCTAAACAAATTACCTATAAAAGCAAAAATATGCAGATGGAAATATTTTAATGCATACTAGAAACCCCAACTTGCATATCAACCCAGCACACATTACTTAAAATATAGGATAACAACTGACTGACAATAGACAGCAACTTATGGTATTATTATTCCTCAGTGACTTATTTTCTTATAAATATGGAACATTTTTAAACACAAAAAGACAGTCTCCATGAAATAGGTTATGACTGAACTGTCTTTCTTAGGGTCAATAAGACATTTTTTTGTTACAACAGAAAACAAGATGGCAAAATAATATGCTACTTATCTGGAAGTGCTTACCTCAATCATACCACTTCTCACTGCTGATACTGAAACATCAATAAGAAAAAAGTACAGTGGGGGCATTGGAGGCCGCACCATGTATTCAGTTGGAGCAACAAATTCCACACTACCCTTTGTAAGCTCCGGTCTCTGATCCAAATCAATTCTTTGGCCAGCAGCATCCAAATGCACGAAATAATCACCAGGAACTGAACATGAGAATTTACCCAAATAAGCATATAATATTGCAATAAGAACTATTAAAAAGTACAAAAAAAAGAAAGCCTATTACAATGAAATTAACTGGAGAAAATATAATACCCAACATGTTTCAATGTTTAAAAGTTAACTGAGTTACCATCATTAAGCAATGAACATATGTTGCATCTCCACTTTCTTCCAGCATCCGTAAATGTGATGTATGGATTCACATAAGTTCGGCATCTTCTACAACGAATAATGCCACTTGAAGCAAAATTAACTATTGGCACTTCCTCCTGAACAAAAGACAGCAATTGACAAAGAGAATAAATGTGTCATCAAATAATTATGTCCATAGGATTCCCAATAGTAAACAGATTTGATTACTGGGACACTAACCCCTTCTGGAGCTTCTGCAAGGGGGCAAACAACTGCCCCAAGAGGCAAATGCCACCTTGAAACCAAAGACTGGGAATTTGGTATGGCAGTAGTAGTGAGCCGTAGAAATCTAGGATTACAATTCAGAGGGTATGTCTCAACAAAGGACTTTGGCTCCACATCACCATCCAATGGCCTAGGTAGCACAGTAGAATCCAGTCCTGGCCCAATTGACCCTGGCATAGAGGTAAGAGAAAGAGAGCTGAAATCTTCCATCAAACTTTGGATGCCACCTACAGGAGGCATAGAACCTGGGTATTGCATTTGGTCCCTTGATTGGAGACCCAGGGGGGTTGCTAATGGTGGAGCAGGAACATAATTTCCTTGTTGAGCAGAAAAGGGGGGAGAAGGTGTTGGTGGAGGCATATAACTTCCTGGTTGAGCATGAAAAACTAATGGCATTGGGGAAGCTTGTGGAACTGCAGGCTGCTTAGTTACATATCCAGGCAAAGGTGGCTGCAATGTAGCCCTTGCAGCAGGATAAGATGAACTGGCAGAAGGAAAAGATGGCTGAAAGTTAGGCCCAGTTCCTGGAAATGATGAATCTGACTGAGATAGACCAGACGGAAAATTCACAGTAGGTGAGGGAGATCCCTTTGATACCGGAGGAATGGATGATTGTGGACGGAAAGAAACAGGTGGGGATGGTACTTGCGCTACAGGGGGTTGAAGAGGTGCTTGCCCCACTGGTGGTCCACGGACAGGGGCAGCTTGTGCTGTTGGGGGAAACTGTGGTGTTGGAAACCGCTGGAAAGGTGCTCCAGCAGGTGGGATATATGATGTGGGAGCAGATGGCACGGATGGATCACTAAACCTTGTAGGAGGACTGTGCCTGAAGCCAGAGACACCTTGTCCAACTGCAGGCCCAGCTGATGAGAAGGGTGTTGTGACCTGGGAAGCAGTTGGCAGAGTAGCCCTGAAGCTGGTGCCCTCTGATGCTACAGGACCAGATGTTGAGAAAGGTGTCACAGGTGGAGGAGCAGAAGCAAAAGGGGTGGCAGAAGGTCTCATGGGAAAATTCGGACGACCAGGATTTTCAGTCCCCATCACTTTCAATAAAACGACAAGTTCTACTGGCTATATGTAAGCCCTCAAAATCTAAAACCTGCCAGAAGCAATATATAAGTTATGAGTGTTCAAAATAAAAATAAACATTAAATATGGTACATGACTATAACCCAGAACTTTGTGGATAAACCTTTCCAGTTTAGAATAAGAGATACCTAAGACAGGCAAACCACTCATAATGTCCGGCTTTCATAACTATATGGGAAAACCAAAAAAGGCACTGCTATCCCCAGAACTTATCATTTTCCACCCATCAAGATTGAACAAATGCAAAAGGAAGCTGCTGTGAGCATTTTTCATAATCCATTTTCTTTTCCTAAATTTAAAGAACTGGTTTGACTCTCTGCAGCCAATAAAAGGTAATCACTTTCTCAAGTTTAGGGGAATGGTTCTACACCAAAATGCCCAAAGATGACACCTCTGCCACTAATGCTCCCCACAAGCAGACCACCACAAGTGTGATTATTTAAGGTTACAACTTCAAAATTCAAAGAAGCAACCTTCACCCCTTTTCATTTAATCTTTCACATAAAATACGTTAATTGAGATAATTACCCACCCCCAGTTCTAATGTACTTGTGAACTAAAATAATTAATCAGTGCTAAATTAAATTCCAAAGGAATATGATTGGATTCATCATAAAAATAACAAAATAAAAAAGAAGAAAAAGAAAAACTGCTATCAATTCACAATTATCTAGTCAAAAAAGTTAACTAAAATATGCTAAAGTAATGGCAACCTCCTCAGCTATTAAGTATCAACAACTAATCTCAATTATGGCAACTTCAATCAAAATGCAACACCAAAATACTAAGAATTAAGAAGTTTAATAGCATCTTTGCTTGAATTGTCGAATTCCAATACCGCCTTCAGAGAACCAAGAGCAAACACGGCAGTATCCCGCCAGCTAAAACCTTACCGGGGAATTGAAGCAACAGAGAGCACTGAATTCGTCAATTCCAGCTTCGTAAGTTGCGTTCAGAAGCCTTCCACGAGAGATCTAAAGGCGATTTCCTTGCGAAAATTTGCGGATCACAAACCGTAAAGAAAGAGTTCGTGAGAGTGAATCAGTGAGATGGAGGAATCGTCTTCGGGAATCTGGAGATCGGAGAACAAAGCCGGAGGTATTGGAAGAAGTTACGTCGTCGTTTACGGCCTCTCCGGCGGATCCACGACGGTGCTCTCTAGGGGGGCTCTGTTCAGTCAGTGGTTCAGAACTAGAGATTTTAGAAATTAAATTACAGTTTTTTTTTTTTTTTTACTTAGTCTTTCTTGGAAATCTTTTCCAGTCCGGACACCTGCAGTTCGGATCCTTCGCGATGCAAAGGTTTTTTTTTATTTTTTTTTTATTTTTGATACGAGAATATATTAATGCTTAGTATTTATATATATATATTAGTATTTATTACTTAAATTTATAAAAAAAATAGATTAAAAATATTTAAAATTACTTTATTTCACCAAATATTATGAAAAAAAGATTAAAAAAATTCCATTCTTAATTTAAAAACTATATTTTTTTTAGCACTATTTAGATACAATTCATAATCGGTAGTTGATATATAATAATTTATAATTATTTTTATTTATAATTTAAAAATATAATCCATCAAATTAAAATTAATAACTAATAAATGTCTCTTAAATGACGAAACAAATATAATTTAATTTTTTAATAAATTTTTATTAAAATAATTTTTATTGAATATTCTATAAATACAATTGATAAATACTTTTTTTATATAAAAATACTCGAATATATTTCAGATATTAGTTTTTAGGGTATTTTTAATATTTTTGGGGTACTTTTTATATAATCCAAATTGAAAAAACTATTTTCTTTTATCATATACATATATATATATTTATATATTTAGTGGATTTTGGGCTACCAAGACAATACTTCTTGCCCAATTATAATAAAATTGGGCTTAAACACTTATTGATATAAATATATAGAGAGTGACCCAGGTTGACGTTCTTGGCCCATGAACAAAGACTGAAAAAAAAATAAAAACTAGTAGATTATAAATTTTCATATTGTAAACTGGTAGATTAAATCAAGGATTGTGAAGTTAGGGATTATCATATGTCTACCTTACTAAGTGCA